GTAAAAAAAAAGTCGCGTCAAATTAAATCACGTGGGTGAAAAATTATTGGGCAATAAATTTGGCGTGACGATATATAAACGCGATTTTTGTAAACAAAAGGTTAAGTTGTGCTTAGTCAAATTTTCTTAATGTCTCTCGTCCCAGAAAAAGACAAAAGTGTGTGACTTTTTTATGGGAATTTTACTTTGCTAAGCTATTTATATTTACTTATGGACAAACAAACTCACAGAGCCGGATATTGGCGACATCTATAGAGATTCCCTCAAAGCATATGAAGAGTATGACGCGTGTTTAACTACTACTATATACGGTGAAACATATTTGGACCCAGAAAAATGTAAAGCCAGAGGTTTTGACCCAATCAAGTGAGTAATTTATCAGCTTTGTTTCTTGGTCTCTTTGTTGATGTGTCTCTTTCTACAGAGCATGTGAGGAAGAAGAAGAAAGGACCAATTTGTCTATGGAATGGATTGAAAGAACAACAAAAGAGAAAGGATTTCGCGCTCAATTCAAGGAATATCTTGCTAAAGTGTAAGCTGACATCTTGTTTCTCTTAATTATAAAACGAAAACACAGTCTCAAGTAGAAACTAATGCCATCTCTTTTCATAGTCCGCCAGAATTAGTAAATAACGATCCGAAATCCCTGAACTACTTGGATTACTCCCCAAAGAAGAGAAATAAGAGTAATAAAAAGCTATCAAAAAAGGTATTCATTTGTGAAGTGGTATTTAGTGGAAAATGTTGTTGACTCTCTTAAAAATTTAGAAAATTCGTTCTTTATTGATGAAGGCTTCGCATCTTGTGGACCATAAAATCAAACTCGAAGATGGATTTTATGTCACGGTCATTGGTATAAAGATGAACAAAGATAATGTTTTTTTAGAGGTGGAGGAAAAAGTGGGAGATGAATTGGAATATTACGAAATTGAGTATCAGCAAGATATGGTTCGATTGTAATTTTTATTATTTTTCATCGATATAAATAACCTCCAAATGTTATAGATATTCTTTGCCTGATTATCTAATGTTAAAATTGTCGAAAAACAAATGCAAATAGAGCTTTATTAATGATTTTATGAATTATCAATGCGTCTAAGTAACTACCTATGCAAAGGTGAATTTACTGTATTTGATCTTACTAGGTCGGAGGATGATCCTCTAGCAATTAGGTTAAGGTTTGATACTCCACTAGATTTGCAGAAGGAAATAGAATTGCGTTAACCAGCTGATACATAGGAAAAAGGTATAAAAATTCATGTGATTAAATAGATATATTAATCAGATAAATACTGTAAATATGTATATTATTGTACATGCGCGAATCTTTTTTCCGACGTTAAATTTTTTGATAGCATTCTGTTTCCACAGCTCATATATGTGTAATGCATTTGGGAGTGTGAAGTTCTTAGACTACGTGTACCACAGATATTGTGCTTGAACACGCATGTCATGTGGATAAAAATTTTTTCCCTCGCATAATAAACACTACTCAAAAAAATAGATCTTTTTACGCTTCCAGAATAATAAAAGGTATGAACGAAACGAGAAAATGATATGAGGGAGAAGGTACTGTTGACCTTCACTAGTGCAGATATCAAAGACCCTAAGTTATAGGGGAACTGAATCTCAACTGCCGAGATAGTCAGGAGTCGTCTTGCACATGAGATCATCAACCTAATGATGTAAATTTTCCCCGAAATTTGTGTAATATTGTTACAAGTTTCGTCTCTGTTGAGTTCCATGCATAACGGAACACCTTTAAGCAGTAAGGATTCATCTGATTTTCAGAATCATATGATTACTCCTTGGTAAATTACTAAATTATGCAATATTGTCAAATTAATTAATCTTTCTATTAATTTTTCCTTCTAGTCGTCCAATGAAACATTGCTTATTTCTGGAGAAATGCCTGCATATATGGTTTATAAATAAGTATATTTTTCTGGGGCTTGCTTTACTTCGAATCAAAGATTTCTGTCTTTGCAATATTTCGAGAACTTTATTCTTCACAGTGACAGGTATAAGTCTTATTAATTGTAAACAGGATTCTGAACTAATAACAAAATGGTATCAAAAAATATTAACTTATAATTAATTTAATATATGGATTGTAATTCATTATATTAAACTTATAATAAATCTAATACCAATTTTTATTGAAATGGTATCATTAGAAACTTTAATTGTAAAGTTATAAGAAAGTTGAATTTGGTAATATATTTTAGAATGAAATTTTTCTTGTTGCAAGTTTTTACTTAACACAGTTGTTTCACAAAATGGAAGCTTTTGATAATGGCAAAAAATTTAATATTACTTTTATTTTTTTTATTGCCAATAATAATCTTTAAATTAATAATCTTTAAACAAAAAAAAGTTGATTTTTTGTTTTTTTATAATTTAAAAATATTAATCAGATTGATTTATTAATTTGAATTAATTAATTTTATATAAAAAAGTTTTAATCAATCAAATTACTCTTCAGTTAATAATATAGTATAAAAAATAATAGCAAGTGAATAGAAAATTATATAAGACTATAAATATTGATTTATTTTTATTTTTATTTTTTACTTTTTAATAATCTTTTCTTTTAAGTTAATAAAAATATAGATTTATTATATTATTACAAATTATATCTTTTTTTAAAAGAATTTGTTAGTATTAGTTATAAAATAAATTATAATTCATTTATTAATCATATAAATTGAAAAAATAAATAAGCAATAAAGAATAAAATAATATATATAGTTTTTTTATTGATTATAAAATATTATATTATATTTATTATTTAAATAGATTCTATCAAAACAAAAAAAGCTAAACAAGAAATAATTTTATAAAATTGTATTGTATTTTCAAAACTTATTATAAAAATATAAAACTTTTAAGAGATAATATTAAAAAATATATTTATTATAATATAAATAATTAAATCAAAACAGTCATATAAACCTCTAATAGACTGGTGTATCCAGTATAACCATTCATGCTTTAGAGCAACCATTCAAATAGACAACCTTAATGAGACAATGAAACAAAAACTCAATACAGTAAAGCAAATAGTCATCTATCTTGACTCTTACTTGAAGACTTGTATAGTGCAATATCAAGGAGAAAAAATAATCATTACCTCTTTTATTAATTAAAAAGATCTATATAAAGTATATAAAGTAATCATTCAAGAAAATAATGAAAACCTAAAACCTTTTGAGAGTGTGAAATACCTGAACATCCAGATATCTCCACGCCATATGCTAAAATCCAATAGGAAAACCTTTGAAAAAACAATTAACAAAATTTTAAAAGAACTTACATATCAAAACTGGAAAGGAGAAATCAAACAGAAAATTATTAAATGGGTTGTACTTGAAAATTTTAAGTATTTCTTGCTTACTTTCTATTTTTACAAATCTATTTTCAGCAGTCTACAGAGAAAAATCAACAAACCTATCAAGTCCTTATATAATATATCATCAAGATACTCCAATCTTGTTCTAGTTAGTGAGAGAGGTCTAAAAATCTCTTTGCTTAAAGAAAGACAAAAATCATTACTTGTAACTAATCTAATATTCAAACTCACCACCCCATCAATCAGAAAATATCTCTATCAAGATATCAGATCAATACAAAAAAGAGAATCAATATAGTTTTGTCTACTCTGTGACCTAGACAAGTTTAATTAAAACAATTGGCTTCTCAATGCAGCCCATGCAGCAAAAAATTTTAAGATCTAACTGTCCACCAACTTGCATATTTCATGATAACAATGCCATAAATTCTATTGGCTTCTTATTCAGATCACTTAAAAGCAATTTCAAAATTACTGCAGTCCACATAGCAAATGTACTTAATATTCAATTCATCAACTAATTACTCAGATTTAACAGCCCCACCAAACTTACATAGTCCCAAATTATTTTATACATAGAAATTACAAGATATAGTTCAGAACCTTACTAGTTCAAAAACTTTGTCAACACTTTCTCTCTAAAGAATATACATGGACATATCTCCAATTCAAGACCAATGTTCTGGCTGGTCAACCCAAGTCGTGTCATTGTTAAAATCTATAAAAGAACTACAAAATTTAAAGAAAACTTACTTTTGAAAGGAAAATACTATCTAATAGACCAATTCGACAATTCTAGCCAGGTGCCAAGGGTGTCTCTTGGACACAAGTCACAATAATTCTTGTCTCATTATTTTTACAACCACATCTGCATCATCCTTATGGGTATCCACCCAAAATTTTCCTCAACCAAAATTTCATCTTAATAATCTAATTGAAGAAACTCTTAATACCTTTCAAGCGCAAGAAAAAATTATAAAAAATATTTGTCTTTTACCAAATCCTCCCTCCTTTTCTCAACTTTCTAAGATCAGTTACTCTCTCTTTTTCTCCATCCAAGCTTTCAAAAATGATGTTATCATTAATAAACTAAAGTTATTCTGTCTACTTCAGGCACAGTAATAGCCAACATTCTTCTGGTAACCTATGATATTATTCAATAGTGCCTAGTCTTATTAATAATCAAAATCAGAAACAATCAAGACATCTTCCAACAAGTCCTCAATAGCTCAAGAAAAATAGTCAAAACTAATCATGCATTCATAATTTCAAGAATTATTAGTTTGAGTATTCAAAGATCAGTTTGCCTCCAATTAGCCAAACCTAAGTCCAGACCAGTCATAAATAAAACTTTACAATGGAATACTCTTCCACTATACTTCATCAAAACCCTCAAAATAAACATCAATTTGGACAATAGTACTATTTGATCCAAGAAAATTTTAAGAATCACAAAGACCTATATGATTTGTGAAAGCTTGTTTGTAATTAAAACCTTCCAAGAAGCCTTAAATCCACATGGCCTGGAATTCCTCATCAAATCCATCAAGCAAATCAGAGATATATAAAACAACTCCTATAGTGATCTCATATCATTCAAAATTAAACTTCTCTTAGGAACACTTTCAATATGAGCCTACCTTAACTAACTATATCCAAAGCAGTATTCAAACTATATATGTAATATAAATTATTTGTTGTTGACTCAATTCTCAAAATTCTTAAAAATAATTGTGTTATGACTCAATTATTTATATATTTTAATAGTTACTTAATTAATTGTATTAAATAATTGTGTCAATTGTGTCAAGGATCTACAAATTTCAGCAACATGTATAATCCAGACCACTTCTACCCAAGATGTAAGCTCAGAATTGAAGATATCAGACATGTTTTTGAGTGCATCTAAGCAGAGAACCATATAGCTCGAATCATTAATAATATAAACAGTATCTTACATCCAAACCAAAGTAACAAACCAATCAATTATATCTGACAAGTAGTCAAGATTTCATGTGGTCTTATTAACAATATACACTCCACAGCAGATATTATTACCTGGACCAAAGCAGTTTCTGAAAGTCTCATGTTACTTTATAATCTAATTTGAAAACCAAGGTATAATATAACAAACATATCTCCCACTACTGGAATCAAATGAGATCTGAACCTTCACCAACCAAAGATCAATAACAATAATACCAATAACACCAACTTAAAAAATTCAAACCAGGAAACATCAAACTCCAAATCTAATTCAAATTCTTATAGTAAGCTAATAGTGGATCTTCTATCTTTAGTTACAAATAAATTTATTAATAGCAATTACAACTCCACCTATGCTACAAAAATTTAATAACTAACTTTAACAATCTTATCAATAACCCTGAGTAGATATTCATAGTTGCTTGGCACTATCTCAGATATATAATAGTTTTAATATTTATTTTTCTTGCCATTAAGATAGTTCATATAGGCAAGCTAGCATTAGACTTATTAACTAGTTAGTTATATAAGAGATGTTATTGCTTTCTCCATATATAAATTTCAAACAATTTACAATTAATAAAGTAATAATGTTTATTTACAAAAAATAATAATAATAATAATAAAAACCATATGACAGAATATACCAAAATCAATCTGTTGGAAGTTAAAAACAGAACTATCTAAATCTTAAATATTTCTTTAAACATCAACTAATAAGAAGTAAGACAGAAAATTACTAAATATGAAAAGATTAAAAATTTCAGAATAAATACAACAAGTATATAGTAAAACATACTAGTCAAGTTTGAAACAGAAAAAGAATATAAAAAAATCAATACATAATGAAATATTTTATTCAAAAAAATTTTACTCAGAATCTACCTATATATTAGAACTTTTGAAATTAAAGAAGCAAGAGACAAATATATCTTGAAACTTATAAATCTTCCATCAGATACTATAGGATATGATCTATAGGAAATAATCGAATTCACTAAAGCAGCATCATACCATATACCTTGCAATAGAAACTATACAAGAAAAAGATTCACTTTCTTAAATTTCATTTCAGCAGAGGCAAAAGAAAAAACAAAAAAAATAATAATACAACTCGAAGAAACAACTTTCTATTAATATAAAACTAATACAAAGCTATATGCCATATGTAGTGCATCAGACCATTTAGTAAAAAACTGTAAAATTAAGGCAAAACAGCAAAAAAGACAATAAACATTAAGGGACAAAACAAAAAGATACAAACCAGAGGATACAAATCAAATTAGAAAAGTTCAATATAGACAAACCAACAAATCAACCAATAATAATTGAATTCGAGTCCAAGAACAATTCAACAAAGCAACAAGTCACTTTTAAGGCAGAGGAACATTTGCTTAAATCACAAGTAACACAACAAGAAAAATCAATAAACTTATAGCAAGAAACTCAATAGCAATAATTAATCTATAATCATAACTAACAAAAGTACTTAAAACTGTTCAAGCAATAGAATTAAAGCTCAAACATATTGTTACTAAAATTTTTAAAAACTTTATTAACTTTGGATAGATACAACTATATATTATCAACATTTATTAATATTTATTAGTTTTAGTTATATTTTCTATAGAATACTTTCTTCTTTTCTCCAAGAATTTTCAAAACGCCTATATAGTTTTGAACAGCGCAGAAAATTCGG